TCCTGCTGAGCTCTGCTATTGTCATAGGGCATGAGTGCTTCCCTTTCTGACCTCCCAATTCTATTTTAATTGAGGTTTCTTTTCATTAATTTTAGACTGTTCTTCTTTTTTCTTCAACTGCCTTTTCCACTCTGTCAGTTTAGATCTTTATAACGTCTCACCACCTCCATTCTTTCTATTATTCAACATGTATTTCTTTTCATTATTAAATTCCCTATAAAATGGAGCTTTGAGTACTGGAGAACTATGAATCTCAACTTTTCAAAAATCTTCAAATATTCTCCACTGTTTTCTAGTTGAGCAGATCTCCTCAGTTTAGCATTTAGGGCGTTCTAAAATGTAATTACATCAGGTACAGTGATTCTTAACCATGGGGCATCGTCAATAAAAATGTGCATACACCTATATATGCAAAGAGTTGCGTATAATTTTATGCACGAGTCTTGGAAAAATACCCCTGCTCTATACCGTCATATCCTGCCACTCTGCCACACATACCTTAAATTCCAACCATATTAGACCACGAGCAACTTGAGGACTGACAGTATTTATGCAAAAACACATTCTCATACACCCCATGATACTATACCAAATATCTCCACCAGGTAACTTGGCCCCTAGAATATCTCCCTTGAGGTCTTTCACAATGTTTTCATTCTCTTTATCTGCCCCCTGTTACCTGTTACCTGGATAACTTGGGAACATTTGGGGAAGATAAATGTCATTTTTCAGATTTTAGTCTCTGCTATTCTTCCTAAAGTAAATTATGCTATTCTGGTGGGAAATAAATTTTTACTAAAGAACTTGGATTGTACTCATCTTGATGAACACAGGCTTCAGTTTTATTTAAATTTGATGTCTATTTGATTCATGTCAACTCAAAAGGGTGTTCTTTGATGTCTTTTTATTTCTGTTTTCCAGGTTTCTTGAGCACAGGGGATCAGGCTGCAAAAGGAAACTATGGACTCCTTGATCTCATACAGGCTTTAAGATGGACTAGTGAGAATATTGGATTCTTTGGTGGTGACCCCTTAAGAATCACTGTTTTTGGATCTGGTGCTGGGGGTTCATGTGTCAATCTGCTGACTTTATCCCATTATTCTGAAGGTAACCGTTGGAGCAATTCAACCAAAGGTATTATGCAGGTTGCAAATTTTGACAAATTTGGTGTCTGCATGCCACGACCATCAGTAGTTTGTGATGCTCTGTATATATTTCTCTGTTTAAACTGTTAGGTTGAACTCAATAACTGTTTAAAACTTTGTTTCTTCAGCTTCTCTATGCATGTTTAAATTTTTGTCAAACTCTTTTGTCTCCTGTGGAGCTTGGTATGGATGCCCTTTCAAACACACTTCAGAATAATTAACATTACACTACTTTCCTCTCCTCCAAAGGGTGATTTTGGGGAAAATCAAAGATGTTCACAGTTCTGTTATCTCTGTTTATTCAGTAATCAAAATCAAAGACAAGGGTTTTTTTAAATTATTTTTTTTAATGCAAGGCTTGTATATAATCTATTTTCTAGATAGTAGATGTTTTAAACCCTTTACTAGTATGAAGATAATACGGAGGCAGTTGTAAGCTAGTTTGTCTGGAAACGTGATTTTTCACTTGCTGTCTGAGTAGAGAATGGAGTTTGATTATTTTGCATGCGTGATCCAAAATTGTCAAAGCAACAAGGTCACTAGTAGAGCTTTTGATTAAAAAGAAAAATATGTTTGAATTTGTGCTTTTTCTATTTTCAACTCCAAAAGTGTTAATTTTTTTCCCCCTGAAGCCTGGCAAAGCAGCATGGAGCACTGAGGCTGCTTAAATCCATGAAATATTGTTCTTGTCCCCATTTTCTGGCCTTGACATCCTTTTTCCAAAATGCCTGCCCAAGGCTTATCATTGCTGGTCTTGATGGAATCCCATTTTACCATGAGTTTAGTCACCCATTCTTAAAGCATTATTAACTTGAAATATCCACAAGAACAGAGGTGTTTTGTTGGAGAAGTCTGTAAAACAAATATTTTCTCTCCATTATACATAAACAATAGGCAGGAAAATAGAGAATATACTTCAACATAGACCATCTTGTATTTTCTGCTTTTCCATCGTCATTTTATATATATTAAGAAAGTATACACTGTCAATTGTAATTCATGAAGCTTCTTAATTTGTAAGACTGAGTTTTATGATATGAGCAACAGACATAGAATACTTGTTTTTGGTATCAAAGACACATTAATGTGGAATTTCAAAATAACAGTCATTAAATGAGTTTGTATATTTGGAGGATCATATATTATTATAGACTTAATTTATAGACATAGTTTATGTAACATCTCATTTGTATTAGTAGCGTTCTGAACCGAGATGACAAAATGACACATGTGTGAGAACTCTTTCAGTTGTATAGAGATTTTGGTCTGTAGTGAAATGACTTATTTTGAAATAACAAACTTCGTTGCTGTTGTTTTTCTTAATTGAACAGATTAGATTGTTCTAGCCTGAGGACTATACTAACGCCAATACTTATCTAGGATAACATTGGACAATCTGTTCAGACTTCTTAGGATCATTTGGTCTCAAATGCTCTTTGCACTGATTCTTTCTAAAACTTTTTCTAAATGTAAAAGTGAACATGGGCACCAAAGCCATTTTCAGCCAGTATAACACTAGCATTGCATAAAGAGATGAATCAATTAGTTCATCAGCTAGCATTGCTATTCATCAACTCATAATGTGGTAAACAGTGGCAAATGGCTATGCAAACAATTGAAAATATAGCATTCCATCACACTCTTCAAGGAAATCCGTCCATGCCTGGCTAGATAAATGGACTTACGTTTGATCTAGTCATAAGTTTATCTCTATTAGCAAAGCTGCTTGAATTGACCAGGAGATGCCCAGAAGAGGTCTTGAAATCATCAGGCTAATTTTATCTCCATTGCAGACATAGACTTTAAGGTCTGCGAACTTCCCAGAGCTGCAACAGTGCTCAGGCCTGTATCTATCAGGAGTCAACCACACATAACAAGCACTCTCGCTGACAATAGAATATGTGGTTTTTCCCAGTATCATCTAGATGGCATATTTCAGACTATATCAAATGTGATGTGTATTGTCCTTAAGACCTTTTTTGGTATATTTAATTAATGTCATTAAGTCCCTAAAATGGGAAAGAATCTTATAGAAGTCTTATTTTAGCTACAAAGTTTTTAAGCAGTAAAATATTTCTCTGAGCACATGTTGACAAACACATAGCCTATATAATTTTTTAAAATTATTTGTATTTATATTGTTTGCTCTGGCAAACTTTGCTCTAGCAAACTGAAAATATGTTCATAAAGATGTCAGAAACCAAAACAAATTTAAATTAGTATTGTTTGACTTTTTGAATATTTTTATAATTATCTAGGAACATATTACAGACATTTTGAATACATATATGTGTTTGGAGAAAAAATGAAAACTTTGCTTCTAATTCAGTCATTACTTTAACACCTTTGTGAAAGAGTTCTTACACATTAACACACATGAATGATTGAGCATGTGTTTGAATAACTGAACTACAAAGCTGTATTTGGAAATTGACAATAAATGTAATTTTTTAAATAAAATAGATAAATTATATTTTTAAAACAAGAATTTTATTAGAGAATACCTTAATAAGTAAAGTTCATTTATAAATTTGAATGGTATGCAGCTCTTATCAAGCTGCATATGGGACCATGATTTATAATTCTTAAATGTAATTAAGTGAAAAGCAGTGGACCATGTACTTTTCATCTTTTATGATAAAATAAAGCAGTGCACATTCAACCGCGGAAAAAGTTAAATCACCCCGCAGCTAAATCCCTCTGCTGATGGCTTTTTCTTTAACCTAGTGAAAATACTTCAAATATTATAACTTCTTCTGAAAGATGAATATTCAGCATACTATGTCTGACATAAAGAAGTGGAAAGAGTATGTCTAAAGTAATATTCTGTTTTGTGTGCCTTTAGGGCCATCCCCAGGGTATTAGCAACTTCCCAGCCCCAGCAGTTATGTGAGGTCTGAACAATTTTTTTTCAGATAAAATCTGATTAAAACAAACACACAGAGCCATTTTGAAGAAGGATGCTTGCAGCCAAATTGGAGGAAATATACTCAAAAGACAATAAAAAGTCTGATGATGAATTAAAGGGGAGAGAGTTATAGCCGCATCTGGTTGGCTATGGTAACGGCGTAGGTGTTTACATGCTGAGCAAATAAATACTTGGGCCTTTTTGCCACAAGTATTTCCACACTCTCCTTCTCTCCTTGCTTACTGCTTTTCTGAGACATTGCACAATTTAGATCTCTTGATCCCAAAGTAGTTGCTACTCAAAGCAGATGACTAATGTCCACCTCTCGAATTCATTATACCCTGGCGATGACTTTATGTACTTTCTCTTAAGCAAAACTGTCTCTATCTCCCTGTTTCTTGAGTCATATCTGGGACATGTCTCAAATATCATATTTTATTGTTTTACCACAGCATTATTCAAAGGTCATCTGAAACTCTTTGTTGTTTTTTCCTATAGGACTTTTTCAACGAGCAATAGCTCAAAGTGGAACTGCCCTTTCCAGCTGGGCTGTTAGTTTCCAACCTGCAAAATATGCTAGAATGTTGGCCACAAAAGTTGGTTGCAATGTTTCAGATACAGTAGAGTTAGTGGAATGCTTACAGAAGAAGCCTTACAAAGAACTTGTTGACCAAGATATTCAACCAGCACGATACCACATAGCCTTTGGACCAGTGATTGATGGTGATGTAATACCAGATGATCCTCAGATACTGATGGAGCAAGGAGAGTTTCTCAACTATGATATAATGTTAGGAGTTAACCAAGGGGAAGGGTTAAAATTTGTTGAAAATATAGTAGATAGCGATGACGGTATCTCCGCTAGTGATTTTGACTTTGCTGTTTCTAATTTTGTTGATAACTTATATGGATACCCTGAAGGCAAAGATGTTTTGAGAGAAACCATTAAATTCATGTATACTGACTGGGCTGACCGTCATAACCCTGAAACCAGAAGGAAGACATTATTAGCTTTGTTTACGGACCATCAGTGGGTGGCACCAGCTGTAGCTACAGCAGATCTTCACTCAAACTTTGGTTCACCCACATATTTCTATGCCTTTTACCATCATTGCCAAACAGATCAGGTTCCAGCTTGGGCTGATGCAGCTCATGGTGATGAGGTTCCCTACGTACTAGGAATCCCCATGATTGGACCTACAGAGTTATTTCCTTGCAATTTCTCCAAAAATGATGTGATGCTGAGTGCAGTCGTAATGACATACTGGACAAATTTTGCTAAAACTGGGTATGTACCTAAGGAATGAAGTTTGCTATAATTTAATTAAAATATCCTCTTAAGCACTTAAAAAATACATATTTTGTGTCCAAATGATTTAATTTAATGGATAATACCAACAATACATTAAGTTCCTTTATTCAAAATTTATATTTGTAGTGTTTCAAAAAAATCACTGCTTTATTCTTCCTTTGTAAAGTTTAAGACAGTCATACCTTTATTGCATTACTCAAGAATTAAATTTATCTTGTTTTTTTAATTACACAGGACTTCTCATTATTGTTATTCAATAGTGACAAATATTTTATAAAGACTTTTCAATTTACAGTACTGTATGCCTTTTGATCCTCCCAACTACCTTGTGAGGTGAGAAGCTCAGATACTATAATCCCATTTTACAGAAAAGGGACGTTAGGCTACGCGAGCTTTACCTGGATATTCATATGTTTAGTGTACAGCAGCATCAGGACTCAAATCCTCACCTGCCAATTCCAAATGCCAAGTTTTTTCCAATGCTGTCTCTGCTAGCTTGCCTATGAGACAACTCATATGTACATGAATTTTTAAATCTTTGGGTATATAGCAGCCCGTGGGTAGAGAGAACAAGAATGTGAGATGTACTTATACTACATTATCATCCAACAACCTGCCTGAGCTGGGATTGATATTTCTAAATTGACCCAAGTTATGTTAAAACACAGTCTAAAGCCTGGCTGAGTTCACCCTCTTCAATTAGATGTTAAACCAGTATGATTTTGATTTTTAAAAGAATAAAACAATTTATTTCTCATAATTTCTCTCTTCTAGTGACCCAAATCAACCAGTCCCTCAAGACACAAAATTCATCCATACCAAACCCAACCGCTTTGAAGAAGTAGCATGGACCAGATATTCCCAGAAAGACCAACTTTATCTCCATATTGGATTAAAACCAAGAGTAAAAGAACATTACAGAGCCAATAAAGTAAACCTCTGGTTGGAGCTGGTACCTCATCTGCATAATCTCAATGACATTTCTCAGTATACCTCGACAACAACTAAAGTGCCATCAACTGACATCACTTTCAGACCTACGAGAAAAAATTCTGTATCTGTCACATCAGCCTTTCCCACTGCCAAGCAGGATGATCCCAAACAACAACCGAGTCCATTTTCAGTGGATCAAAGGGACTACTCAACAGAGCTGAGCGTCACTATTGCAGTTGGAGCATCACTGCTGTTTCTGAACATCTTGGCCTTTGCAGCCCTGTACTACAAAAAGGATAAGAGGAGACATGATGTTCACAGGAGATGCAGCCCTCAGCGCACGACTACGAACGATCTGACCCACGCACAAGAAGAGGAGATCATGTCCCTCCAAATGAAGCACACCGATTTGGATCATGAATGTGAGTCCATCCATCCACATGAGGTGGTTCTTCGGACCGCCTGCCCCCCAGATTACACACTAGCTATGAGGAGGTCACCTGATGATGTTCCCTTAATGACACCCAACACCATTACAATGATTCCCAACACTATACCAGGGATTCAACCCTTACACACATTCAATACATTTACCGGAGGACAGAACAATACTCTGCCCCATCCTCATCCCCACCCCCACTCACATTCAACAACCAGGGTATAGCCAGATAAGAAAAGTAAACTCTATTTTTTTGATGGATTGCAGTAAAAAGATTACTGAAGATTCCTTGGCTTTCAACCTACAAGACGCTTACTATTTAAATAAGGAGGAATACTATGAATATACATATCAAGAACTTTGGGGGCTTTGAAAAAAACATGAATTGTACATATATACACAAATCAACTTTAAAAATGAATTTCAATTGCTTGAAGCAATTGTTCTGAATGATACTTTTTCATTCACATTCAAGAATTAATTTTTTGAAGATTTATGTTACATGATGGAATTAGGCATGTGGAACACCAAACAGGAAAGAACTATGTCTGAAATATAAAATATAAAAAATTAAAAAAACAACCATGAATATGCACAAGGGACACACCAATGGAATGTCAGAGAATTTTCACCAGTTTTTATTTGGAGCTGTTTTATTGTGTAGACCATATTTACATATTTGGATAAGTACACAAAGCACCAATGCTGTTAATGGCCTTAGCGGAGGCTCATGCTGAAATTTGCCAGTAAAACAACGAAGTTTAAAGACTGGCAGGTACAACATTATCACATAAGTGCTGTCAGTATAAAGTTGTGGGGATAAAGGAAACTGGATATTTTTAGCACGATGTGCATGATAATTTATATGCTTGGTGGCTGTGCTGCTGATTAAGCTGTAATTAAAATTCTTCTCATCCCATTGGAGTTTTTAATAGAAGCTTCCTCCATCAATTGGCAGAACCTAAAGAAGATTTTAAGGGGCAAAAGTAATTACAATAAAATAATTCACAGTAGTTTTGATAATAGATGGAATTAGTTATGAAAGGTATTTGAAGAAACTATAGGTATAGTGGTGAATACTCGCTGATATGAATCCCAGAAAAAAAATTCCTATATTCTTAATATTCTTTTCATTCCCATCTAAGTACTTCATGGAAATATAACCCTAATTGGACATGTGTTACAGGATCTATACTTTGCTGTGGTTTTTGTTACTCTGTATTTTGTTCCTTTTGGTAAGGTGAAGTGTGTCCAAAGAGTTACTTACTAGTCTTTTATGATATAAGAATGCCCCAAATTACCACTCTGATTACAGTTCTCAGTTCATTGATTTACTCATGTTGCATGACAAAATGTTTACTAATAATAACTCAATATAAAGTTATGTCCCTTCTCACGTCACTTATCTTTCTCACTGAGGTTCATTCACTGGAATTTATTCACGCAATCTCAGTAGAGTGCAACGTAGATGCAAAACCTAAAAGGAGAGTCAACACCTGGAGGATTTTAGTCTTACACATGCGTGTGATTTTAAATGAATATTCTAAGACCACAGGAAACTCTTCATCCCCCTGTTGTTTACCAGTAACAGTATATCACAGACCTTTCCAAATGTTTGTATATGTAATCAGATGTACATTTGTATTAAAAAAATTGAGATGGACTTAAAGAGCACATCCTGATAAATACTTTCTCTCTTACCTGTACTATATTTCTATTAGACTAAAGTTATGTGATTTTTTTTTACATTTTTTCAGATGACTAGCAATTTTGATAGTTTGTAAGATAATACAAAGAACTTTCTCTGACAAACTAACTGCAGTAACAGAAACCTTTCTTTTCAGTTACTCTTTTTCAAGAATGAAAGCTTATTATACAAAAAAAAATTGTATACTACTTGATGGAAACAACTTTGTACATCTTGGCCATGTCACTGGTCATTGCGTGAAATAAAGATAATAATGACTATTAGTCCAATGCTAAGAGACATGATCTTTGCTCATTAAAGAGCTAAAATGTTTATTGCTGTTTTGTCTTTTTTTAAAAAACAAGAACAACAACAGAAAAAGAAACATGACTGTCTCAGAGAGTCATTTTTCTAGACAAGTCAGGTTTTTGAAGACATATAGGTAACTTCTACAGAAAACACACCGTGTATTTAAAGGCAAGTCTCATCTAAGATGAAACCGATGAAACTTTAATATTTTGAATTTTTAAGCCCAGGAACTCATGAAAAAAATACTAGCTTTGTATTTTTAAATACCTCTTATGTGAAAGTGGTGTGGAAATAAAATGTGCCAATTGTTTTCAGTTAGAAACACAGGTTCCAATTCTGATCATCAAGGAACAGGTCTACTGGAAATAAATGTGCAATATTCATGAAATAGAATAGCTAGGTTCAAATATAAGGGTGATTAAATTATCATAAAGCAGTGGTTAGAAAGTTATCCTTCTAAGAAAATTTTAAAGTGCTGAGCAAGACATTAAGCTAACACTAAAGATAAAAATCTTCTCTTTCAAGGAATTTGTTTACTTATAATTCCCCCTCCCAATTATTAACTATCAGTAAAATGTAGATATTGCTCCGTAACTTCAAATAAAAATCTGTTAGAAACAAAAAGTCTTCAAAATCCAGAGCAGTCTATGTGCAGTTTTTGCCTGATTGGTTATGCTTTTAGACTGTGAACTGCCAATGTAAACAAATAAAAAGAATTGTTTTAACATCTGAAATATTGTTTAATCAGAAAACTGTCTTTTACTGTATTGATTAAACAAAAGATAAAAACAGAAATAGAAATGACAAAATAAGATATAAATGAAATCTTTCACATGCATTACTTCACTTAGCAAAACCATTCTATTATATTTAATGATGGCCATATTTATATCTATCTACCTATCTGTTGCTCTAAACTTATCTATCACTTGATCTACATAGCTATACCATAACAGACATCTATTTTATACTAATTTAGGGAAATGATTTAGGAAAACAAAGCATAGCCCTATTCTTTTTTTAAAAATTAATGTAGCATCAACTTTGTGGAAGATAAAGCAGCTCTAAGTTTTATTACTGTTTCAGGTCGTGATGAAGTCATTGTGAATGAGTGTTAGTTGCTAGTTTTATAATTACAACAGCTAGTTTTCTGAATGTAAAATGATGTCCCACAATAAATAGAACATTAAGAACTGTTTTTAAAGCTGAAACATGAATTTTAAATGCAAGAAATATTTTGAATATTGTTATGAAATTTTACCCAATATGTTTAAAGTATATTTATTTAGATGATAATTTTCTTTAGAAAAAAAGTTGCAAAATTAAAAGAATATTCCTGTCATCACTTATTACTTCAGATTTTCCTGCCTCTGATGAAACTGCAAATAGTCAAGGCTGCTTACAATTTATACAAACATCATTAAGCCAAAATTGACTTTATTTCATTGTCTTGCTAGTATACAAAATTCTTGCCAAATGTTTTCCAACAGATTAATGTTGTTTTAGAGGATGGCATTAGCAATATAAGAGTGACAGATCTCATAGTTTTAAATTTTTATTGAATATGTTGACTGTGAACAAAATCTAGTTGACTGCTACAGATATATCATGAGTTTCATTATTAACTTTAGGAAATTGGAAAGTCATTTTCTAAAGCATTAAAAATACCCAATTTGAATCTGGAGAGATCATGCTAATAGCTCAAAGTAGAAAATCTGAGTAAAGTATAGATTATTTCATTCTTCATTTCAAATTTAAAAGTTGACCATAATTCTTTAATTCAATTTTTTAATCTGTTTAACATAAAAACAGCAACAAATTTTTTTAAAACAATCAATCAACCATACGTAATACTAAAGAAGAAAACAAGGATGGCACTAATCTTCTTACAGAAAAGAAATACCAGAACTCAGTTGTTTTATCTATAACATATTATTCTCAGTTATTTCACCTGTTGGCACACTTATACTGACACGTTAATGTAATGAAAGGATTCAGAAAATGTGGTGTTGTGTTCCAGCTTTAAAGACACTACTACATAGAAATTACTGGGATTCTTTTCTTTGGCGAGTTTCACAGAAATATTTTCATAGGGCAAAATGATGAATGGAATTCTTAGGAAGCTGTCGAATATGGTGGCAGTCTTTTGATATTTGTTTTCTTCTGTTATTGGTTCAAAGTACTGGCCTTTCCCTTCATTTCTAGTAATTAGTTGTTATAGACTATCACTTCTTAATATGAGTGAAAATTAGATAATTTGGTTATACATGTGAAACATGCTCCCAAATAAATTCAATTAATGGGCACTTCCCTGATGAGATTTTGTTATCATTCATTTAATTATCTTGTCAAGCCTTTTGTTACAACAGTTGTTTTCGCTTTTGAGTCAACAAACTAAGGAAATTTTTCCAACAGCCTTATACCTCTCCTGCACTTGATATAACAGCATACACTTCAAATTTCCATCAGAAGTCTCTAAAGAAATTTCCTACTGATGTGAAACATTTGGTAACAAACTTATTTTTCATAAGCATTCTGATTTGATTTTATTCTGGCACTTTGCTGTATTTGTATGCAGGCCAGAAACCAGTTCCATTTGAAAAGGGTTGTAGCATCTACAGACTGGAATAACCATGTGCAGGGCATAAGTGCCTTTCTTTCTAGGATTTTATTTATGAACAATTATTGTCTTTTTTTAATTTGCAGATCCTAATAATTCAATTTAAAAGTTATAATAGGGTGACCATGTTATAAGTTAACAATAAGAAAATTTTATTTAGAAAGGTCTTTTCTTGCATTTAGTTTGATTTTTGTATGTTATCAGATGGGTCCAAATGACTTCTGGAAGAGAGCAAGGTGAATTTTTGAAAAGCAACAATTATTTAGGAATTTGATTTAATTGTACATGTGGAAACTTAAACTTTTTTTGCCAAATAAGTAATTTTAATGTAAAAGAAGTCTGAAGTTGTTAGGGACAATCAAATCAGACAGGTATATAATTTTATCTAGTCAACCATCATATATACCATGTGGTATATATAGCCTATGAACTATATAGTTTGTAGGATATTTATCATGGCCCTTTCAGACTCATATATTTCCAAATGACATTGTATACCTCCCTACATATATGTATTAGTGTGATAGAATTTAGTTCTCTATGAAAAGTCAAGCCAAAGTGCTAGCAGTTTTGTGTTGAAATGAATGATGAAAATTAGAGCTTTAAAGAAATTTGTAGCAGTAACAAAAAATCAGCAGATGAAATTAAAGCAGAGGAACTATTTTTGAATGCCGTTTCCAGAATTGATATCTATATTAGATGGTGTGTTTAAAAGGATTTTAGTGTTTTTGATTCATCCTTCTCTGCATTCGTATCATTTAGCAAATTAATGGGACATATGTCATGTTTTTTGTAACAAAAGGCCATTGGGTTGTCATGATTCAGTTTGTGTTTGGACATCCATGGATTTCATTAAAAACAGGTTTATTATCACGAATAAATATTGCCATGTTTTTCAAGTTGTGTTGACCATTTTTAAACTCAGAAATAATTTCATCTCTGTTTGACACACACAAAAACATTTCCAAGATAAATGTTCCCTTGCAACTCCTTTCTCTTGCCCACACATGTGCTGACAGTTCTGATTTGATGGAAACGATATTTTATGGTCTGTTCACCTCTTGGTGAAGGCAGGGAAAGAATTTGGAGAGTAAAGTTTGGGAACTTGGAAACAGTTGTTACACAGCTTGTCAGAAAAGAGAGAGGAAAGCGGGAGGAGGAAGAGAAAATGAAAAAGGGAAGGAGTGAGGAAAGAGGGAGAAAGAAAGGAAGAAAAACTTCTCAATTTTTAATTAATGACTTCTTGCCTCCAAATAGTTTTTGGTTTTTTTTAAGCAGAGGTATACGACAGTTACTTAAAAAGAGCACAAAGGGATTTAAATAAATCCCTTTAAACCATAATCTATTGTCCTTAGAGAACAAGATTCATAATGTTTAGGAAGAGGCACAAAATTTAATCGTTGATACAAGTCTTTGTCAAATTGTGTCACTAGAAACAAACAAAAATAAAATCTAGAGATACATATTTCTCGTCTTGTACAATCTAATCAATAATGATCTTTGTAGGGAAGACTAAGTGAAGTGTGGACATCTCTCATTTGACTATCATCCAAGATAAGAGTACAGTAAACAATTAGGACATCATAGAATTTCCCCATGCATGGTCTAAAGACCAATATTTTCAAACTGCTAAATAGAATTGTCATGGCCTTGCTGGTCTCTGTGACCACATATAGCCATCAGTACCAAATAAACAAACAGTTCAAAAACACATTCTAAGAGTTTCACTTTCCACAAAAGGATTTTGATGTTTAGTAGGATTTCATGTTGTTTTATATGATTACATTTTTTCATTACAGTTTTACATTTCCTTACAGGTTACAGAATGTTATTTTTGAGTTCAAAAGAAATGTCCCAAATATATTCTATAAATGTCCATATGAAAGCAATATTTTCTAGTGGAGTGCCATAATTTGAAGTACTTTCTCTACTGCCCCCAACCTGGAGAGTTGCCTTGAATCTCCCCTTAAACATTTCTATTTCTCTCCTGAAAACACTCAGCTTCACTCTCAGAGCTGACTTCCTCTGCACTGCCAGAGATCTCCCCACCAGTTCCTGCAGCTTCCATTCCCATGCCTTCTCCCATTATTATGTATGCCTCCTTCTTCAAGGATGTAGAATTTGTGGGGAAAGTCTTAAGGTGAATTAAATAAATGGTGCTTCGGGCAGGTTGGAAGCTAGTGATCACCAATCAAGCAATGAGAGGAATTAGCCATCCATTCACTCAACAAGTGGTGCCCAACGTGTGCCAGACAATGTACTGTTAGACACATGAACCAACTCTGATTTACCCAATAACAATTATTGTCACACTAGGAATAGTTTTAAACACTTAAACTACTCAGATCACCTTTTGTGCTACCAACTATATCACATCATTATGCAACATCTTGTTTTATCTATTTGATAGGTCTAAAATTAGTAAA